TTTTCCTATATTCGGGGTGGTAAACCAAGGTTCGTGCCCATTGTTGCAGGTTACCATCTTACCAGATGAGCATCAGCTTTCACTGCGAGTATCAAGAGCGCAGAACACCCGACTTTGAACAGTGGTTGGGTCGCGGCAGCCTAGAACCCCATTGAGGCATGAGAGATCACCACGCCTCCTCAGTACGGCATTGAAGAACGCGCCCCGACACGCCCATTTCGGGTTTTTTTTTTTCCGCCGTATCTCTTTGAGCTCGAACATCGACTCCTACTAAATATCTCATCGATACACTCGCCCCGACAATGTGCTGCGCGCAACGTATCAGTTATTACGGGAACAGTCTGGCATTACGAAACGACCCTGACCGACATGGAGTCAAAGATCATGACTCACACCAGTCAACTGAGGTTGTTCGGAAAATTTCTCGTCTAAAAGTTTGAATCTGACAATGTGACGAACTGGCAGGGCATACAAATCTGTCGTGGCACCGGGCCAAGCAATCCCAATTAAGTCTGCTGAAACTGACCAGACCTCGCTTCTTCTACAAACATTGCAGGCGTCGCAGAGAAACTTCCGATTCATCTAGCTCCCCCGCTGGTGCAAGCGGATTCGGGTAGAAACACCAGCTTCGACGCGGCTCCGCCGTATTGTTTTGCGATGCGCATCAGAACATTGTTGCCAACACCTCCGTGCTCGGGCTTTCAGGGGGGGAGGAGACCACAGCAGCATGAAGTGTGTGGGCCTCAGGAGGAAGAATGTACCGGAGTGGTCCCTGTCGCCCTCTGTCTGCGACGTCGATGTCGCGCATCCGTAAAAGATCACACATCCAAGGCTTGTCAGCGATCGACGCTATCGATCGTCTGGTGTTCACCGGCCCTCTCCGAGACGGGACCCCTGGTTGGCCTGCCGTTGACAGCTGCTCGGCCGGTATGGAGTGTGAGGGCCGAGATCGTTTGGACCAGTTCATCGCCTCTGGGTAGTCCCAGCTTCTTGTGAGACTCGGCCCATCCGAAAGCGGTAGACGTGCATGACTCAACACGCTCCCACTAGGATAATCGCTACTCAAGAATTACCTACAGAAGATAGAGCGATATCTTGTTGTCTGATGACTCCAACTACCTCTACGCACGCCTTGTGAGTCTGCCGTCCGCATTGTAATCCGATCCGCATAAGGTCTGCCTTTGTATGTATGCCTGCCGGTATCACCGTATCTGCCTAGCAAGGTACCGCCTCGGTCCGACAGATCCTAGTCCGACAGTGGCGGGGGAGCCGTATAAGAGACAACGATATAAATGTTTCAAGCATCATCCTGCGCAGCGTCGTAGCAGGTTGGTGGTCCGTGTGGGAAAGAGCACGACAACGCTCGGAACTTGCCGACTAGGAACTTTGGGAGCAGCTACATGTGGCATCCGTAAAGGGCTACGGAAAGCGCTACAATGGCTGAATGTTGAGACCACGATGCCGGCTTCCTGGGCCGTCAGAAGAAAACACCAAAATGCTACTTGCTCGGCCTAGATATTCAGTCGCCAGGTTAGCACGACTCGCATTCGCTTCATCTGATGCAATGGAAACCTTCCTCCTCGCTCCATCGACACTCGTACATGAGAAATAACCTGGAATAGGCCTAGATAAGTACAGCGAATACAACCTTGTCAGGCATGGATCGCCGTTGAAATCCCACTCTTTCGGCCTCGATAAGCGTCAGAATGGGCCGGCGGAGTTTACATTTTACGATCGTCTACATCTGCCGGAAGGTTGAATTCTTGGAGTTGAGCACAGCTGGATCAAGTAACGTACAAGAGAGGTGGACAGCGGGCTCTCAAGATTGCCGACTCCCCAGTGCACCGGGCCGAGTGGTCTCGCTCGAGTATTCGAGCGTCGAGCCCCCCGTGCTAACAAGCACTGGTATGTGTGTGGGAGTCTTGAAACCTTCGAGGCCTTCTCTCGATGCAATCCTCCGAGATATCAGAGAATTTGAAACGCAAGATATCAATGTGCACCTGCAAGACGGGTTACTCAGACACAGGTCCCAAATGTTGCCCTGCGAGACAAGCTTCTGCGCCGTGTCGAAGTTTTGGGGTGCTTTTTTTCTTCTTAAACCTCAACATCAAGTCTTGCAACGCATATCGAAGGCGACATACGGTCTAGGCCCATATTTATTGGATGGAAGGCTAGTGTATGCGCGGATAGCTCAAAACGTGAAGATGTGTTTGCTGCAGTTGCGACTGTGGACGCAATGTCCATTCACTTGGCGTAGCTTTCCTCGTATATATATGTGTGTATACATACATAACTCCTCGTGTCGAACGGTCCACTCTGGAACCATCAAGCTCAGTCAGCCATAGTGGGCTCACAGCAAAAGCTAGGTGATCAGGGACCTTCTTGTGTCCCGCTCGGAAGCCAGACACGCTCAACGCTCGCCCGAAGTGCAAGTTTGCGTCGTAGCTTGGAAGCCCGTCGGGCCATGGATGCATCCATTCGGGTCTCCAGAGCAGCTGGCCTCGCTCGCCCGAGGAATAGAGACAGAGATGTCGGTATGCAACAAGTCGCTTGAGGCGGTCCGCCGTTCTGCATCCTGCCCTAGAGCCACAGCCGGGACAACTTGATCCCAGGGCTTTCACAGCTCCTTCATCACCTCCACAACGGCCTTCTTGGCCATCTTTCGCCTCTGCTCCTCCGGCAACCCCGCGCTCATGTCCCTCACGGCCTGCAGCTTCCGCATCATCCGCTCAATCTTCTCCACTTCGTCGCCGTCCGGCCCCTCATCCTCATCGTCTCCGTCCCTGCTCTTCCCGGCGCCCTCTTCGGTATTGTTCTTGGCCGAGGCCTCTCGCGCGGCACCCTTGTTTTCGTTGCCAACATCGTCGCCGTCATCGTCCGCCTCATCCGTTTCGGGCTGCTGCTCCTGATCCAGGTTCCAGATCGTCTTCTTCAAACCCTCAAAGTCAGACTTGTCGAAGCCAAAGTCCAAACTCTCGGGGTCCAGATCAAATTCATCCTCATCGCCGTCGCCGTCAGCGTCAGCTAGGGGCCTGCGGCTCCTGGGGAGGCCCGATGCAGGCTCCTCGTCAGAGTCGAGGTCGGAGAGCCCGCCGTCGAGGTCGTCTGCAGCGTCCCAGTCGTTGGACTCCAGGGCCTCGAGGACTCGGGGGATGCCCATTTTCTCTAGGCCATCGTGTCAGCACAGGTCCATTCTCGGTATCATCATTCATTCGCAGTAACACCGCCCGCCATGTGCCAGGCCACAGGCTCGGAATGAGTGAGCTTAACGAGAGGGGGGAGGGGGCGTTGAAGTAATAGTAGAAGAAATCAAGGAAAGAAAGGAAGGAAGGATCAACCCACGAACCTCCAAACTCATTCTTTCCCTCGTCCTTCTTCCCTCCTCGGACCTGAACAAACTCGAGCCCCCACTCGGCACAGAGCTCTTCCCACTCGTCCGCGTCGCCGTCGCCGACACCGATGCCCAGGCTGACGCCGTCCCACCCCCAGCCGCCGAGCCCTTCACGGACGACCCTGCCAACCTCGGTGATGAGGGCGCGGGTCTCGTCTGCAGACGGCGGTGCCGGAGGTGCTGCAGGCTCTGTAGCCGTCACCGGAAATGTGTCAGCAACGGGTGCGGCCGTGCCGGACGATGATGTCGAGGGCAGGGCGAAGACGACAGCCATACCGCCGAGCACGGAGAGGACCTCCTTGGCCTCGGGCGAGAGGAAAGATTCGGACCATTCCGCCGGCGAGGAGATGAGATCCAGCCAGATGGGAACGTCGGCACTGTAGTAGCTCGTCTTGATGGAGAGGACGTGCGTTGTGCCGGCGAGGGTGGTTGATGCGGGTTCCGGGTGGTTGCCCGTCAGGTCTGCCTCTTGCGTCAGATGCTGTTCTTTCCTGTCGGTTCTACCAGAACTACTTTCCCGCCTCTCTTTTTCATTTTCTTTTAATTTTGTCTGAGGAGGGGGGGGCTGCGAGGCTCGTCGAGCTCATGACGATCGCCTTCACTCTCACTGATCTTTCTCACTCGAGCGTCACGGCGGGGCAGGACGCATCCCGCGCCAGAGGATCGGCGTTGATAAGATAAGGAAACTCGGACGGGACTCACCTTTGATGACTCTGCTCAGGTGCTGCTTCGAGTCGGCAAGCGAGACAGCCAGGACCCGGCGCGGGTTTTTGATATCCATTCTCCGTCGATCTTTCTACGGGTTGTCTGGCAGGTGTGTGACGAAGGCATCAAAGACAGCTATGAGGGTTCCGGGCGGCGAGGTGGGAGAGGGAATGGCGGGGCACGGGACGCAGGGTCTAGGACCGGGGGGGTGGGGGATGGATTACCTAAACGTTCGGCCGGGAGCTTACCTTCCCGACCTAGGGCCGAGCATGCAGCAGGAGAGCAAGCGACCTTACGACGTGGTACGGAAGCTCCGGCTGCTGCATGCTTAGTATAGCGTCTTTTTTGTTTATTTAAACACCTCCCTTTTCTCTTTCTGTGTTGTGTCGTATGCCGAGTTTGACTTGTACAAACATCCTCTCAGACACAGGTACCTCTAACGATACGGCTGATTTCTTATCTTGCTAAGCCATATTTCTTCACGGCGGAACGATTGGACCATGTATATGTAGGTGTATCGAGTTATGCTTTTCCTTAATGTAAGTATTCCCAACCCTCGCTATTATCCTCGACAGCAGTGATCTTTTGCCTTGCAACACCAGAGAACCGAAACAAGGAGACAGTATAAAGAAAACGAAATTCGTAAGGCGTCAATCTGGAGAACGTTTTGAGGTGATGCAAGTAGACGGATAGAGAGAAAGAGAGACAGAGAGGGAGAGGAGAGAGAGAAAACCCAAAAGACACCCGCAGTTCCGGCCATGAGGAGAGAAACAAAAACAGCAAGAAACAAACGTGCGGGAAAAGAAAGGACAAAAAAAAAACCCATGGCATGCGAAATAGACCATACAGCGAAAGAGTCGAGAGTCAAGAACATGCCCGAGCATGCACCTCGACGGCGTGTCGCTCAGCAGTTACCTCCCCATCCAAAGTGGCGGTTGACAACGTTCATGGCGCTCACGCCGGCCATCACGAGGTCCCTCGTCGCGCCCCCTTCCATGCCGGCCAGGACCTCCTCGAAGCTGGTGTCCTGCCTCCCCTCGGCGTCCCTCAGGTCGCGCTGGTCCAGCTCGCCCTGGCGCCTCTCGAGGACGGCCTTGGAGATGGCCCTCCCCCACATGTTGTACCAGTCGAGCTCGGAGAGCGTGACGTACTCGCGCCCTGTGACCCTGCCCGTCTGCGGGTCCCTCCGGCGGCGGGAGAAGGGCCACTCGGCCTCGACGACCTCGAAGCGCTTGGTTCGGAAGAAGAGGTAGGGCCAGGCAAAGAGCCAGAGGAAGGTCAGGTAGAACAGCCAGCGGACCCAGGGGGTCCAGCGCCAGCGGTTGACGCGGCAGGTGTTGTAGACGTCGACGCGGGCGTCCTGGACGGGGAAGGAGACGTCAATGTGGCCGCGGTAGTGGGTGGCGCGGACGAGGTCCTCGAGGCGGCCCTTGAGCTTCTCGTCCTCGTCGAAGCCCGTGACGGTGCGGAGCAGGGTGAAGGACTTTAGACCGGCGTGGGAGGCGCAGTATCGGTGGCACCACTCGCGCAGGGTGGGCTGCCTGTTCCCGTCGGCGGCGGTGTGGGAGGACGAAGAGGAACCACCGAAGCCGGGGGCGCGGGTGGGAAAGACGGTGCCACGACGGACCTTTTGAAAGTTGTCGACGGTGCGCAGCTCGCGCCAGGAGCGGCGGGCGGTGATGTCGCGGTAGAGGAAGGGAGTGAGGTCGAGGCGGACGTCGAAGTCGACGACGGTCTTGGACTCGGTCTTATCGTCGCGCTTGCGGACGCTCTCGGTGTGGGTGCCGCGGACGCGGACGTAGGGCCTGGGCGGGAGCTCGGCGAGGGCGGTGATGTGAGATTCGAGGTAGGTCGGGTCGGTGTCGAGGCGGCGGGAGGTGTGGATCTCGGCGCCGGTGACGGGGTCTTTACGGAAGAGAAGCGGGGAGGGGCCGGCTTCGTCTGCGAGGAGGGCGGTCGTGGTTGAGGTGATGGGGTGGCTCTTGGAGGCGGGGGACGGGTCTTGGGGTTCATCCGTGTATGATGGCGGGAGGTCGCGTGCGGCGACCGAGGAGGAAGAGGAGGAGGCAACGACGTCGTCGAAGTAGGCATCGTTCGTGTGCAGGGAGCAGGCGTCGGTGGGCTGGTCGAGGCGAAGGTCGGGAGGGTTATTGGAGGAGGATGCGTCCTCCTTGGAGTCGGGCTCGAAGGGTGGCAAGTCGGGGGAGAAGGCGCCTGGCATGGACATTTTCGGGTGTTGATGCTTTGCTTTGGATATAGAGGCAAGGGGGTTCGAGGGGAGGCAGAGGATGTCCTCAGTTGGGGGCTGGTGATGCAGAGTAGGATCGACTATGGATATAGATGCGGAGATACAGATGGATGGAGACGGTGTAGAGCAGAACAGAGCGAGTGAGCGAACTTCCAGACAGGCACGACGAACCAAGCAGACACACACACACACACACACACACACACGCAAACAAAATCAACGAGAGACGATCACGGGGAGTGGAGGTGAAGGAAAAAGATTGGAAAAGGAATGGTCAGGCGTCGTTGTGATGTCGCAGGAGGTACGGATACAGTAGGTACGAAGGTACAGTAGGTATGTTGTATTTTGGCTAGACAAGGTTCTAGGCCCTGGAACCGGCATCCCAAGGGTCCTCTTGGCCCAATGGTATGTTTTAGTTCTATTTTTTTTATTTATTATTTTTCAACACCCCTTCCCTTCCCCCTCTTCCCCCACCAATATCCGACGGCGGGATGGTCACCCAGCGCCCCGTCACACTCGGTCAAACGTGGTACTTGGGCAGAATTGAATTGCAGAATGCAAAATGCAAAATGCACATCAAAATGCAGAGCCGCTAGCGAAGCTGCCCTGCCCTGTCGTGTCGTGTCGTGTCGTGTTGGGGCAGCCTCAGCCCCCCCCCCCCCCCCTATCGGCGTCAGCCACCCAATGAGGGAGACGGTTTGGCCACCCACCCCAGGTGGGAGGGAGTCATCGTTGGGGGATTTAGCTTTGTCAATCTCGACACTGTCTATTCCTAGTCTATTTTACCCACTTGAGCTTCAATACCAAGGTACCTAGGTATGTATTGAATTCCAAGTACCGTATCTGCCCACCAGCTGGCTTCGTGGCGTGGCGTGGCGCTGGCGTGGCGTGGCTCTCCTCGTCACGACTCACGGCTGGCTTGTCTCGTCCCACTATCGAGACGTCTCCCGTGCCATCGGCTTCATGCGAATGAACCCGGCCCGGCTCTCGGCGACGCGAGCCTTGCCAGATACGCATCGGGTTTTCCTTGTCGTTGTTCTCTTCGCCGCGGCTTCGGACACAGTGGCCGTGTCAAGGACATGTTGGCTTTTGTTGTGTGGTTTGTTTAGCCAGTCGCCCACTCTGAACCAAGGACGCGTGGCGACAGATACCAAGTTTGGCGAGACCGAGTCCTATTTTGGTGCCACGCCGCAGGGATTCAAATGCCGCACTTCTCGTTTGGCCTTAGTCACTGTTTTCTTTGCCCCAGAAAGCATCCGATGCTGATGCAGACCACTGGGCTGGCTCACTTCAGACGACGGACCGCCCTCAAAGCCCCGTCATCCCATCCCGTCAATCGTCCGGACCCCAGACGAGTCTGAAAACACCGACCCCCATCCCATACCGGTATCCTGTTGCCTTATACGCCGAGTTCACCAGCGTAAAGGCCGTTCTGTCCAGAGGTTGTTGAGCGAGGATGCTGCCAATCATGAGAGAACCGCAACATCGAGTCTGTGACCAAGGGACCTAGCTATGATAACGGCGTCCAGGGCTGGGCTGTCTTGTCTGTCTAACATGTCTCACGACCGCAAAACTCTGACGTCACGCAGGCCAGTAAGGACAGCACAAACTGTCGCATACGCCGCGCTGAACCCAGGCGGTCAGTTCTACATCTCCCTGATCCCCAGGTTCGCCCGCGCAAGCACCGCCGTTCCGGAGATGGATCTGAGCGGGACCGTCACCCAAGTGTGGAGTCCCGGGTCCGCATCCGGCCCGGCGGCGACAACGTCGAGAACAATGGCCAAGGATGCGTCGCCCGTGGACGACGCAGGGCCAGAGAACGAGTCCCTGAGGGAGAGGTTCGGCCGGGAAGGAAGCCGGTTCGACGCCGTGGTCGACTGCGTCGGCGTGCAGGACGTCCACATCAACTGCGCCGCCTATCTAGTCCCCGACGGTGTCTACTCCGCCCTTGGGATCAAGCCGGCGGCTCTCTCGTATGGAGCCTTCACCAAGGTGGCCTGGCAAATGCAGATGAACGCGCTCTGGTCCCGTCCGACCTGGTTGGGCGGCACGGGCCGTCGGTGGGCGGCAACGGCTATGATGGACCCCGGTAAGGATTTGACGGAGGAGGTTATGGGAATGCTGTCAGACGGGAGGATCAAGTCTGTCATCGAGAAACAGGTTGGTTTCGAGCAGGTCGCGAACGGGTATGACATCGTTGGGAGCGGGAGGGCGAGAGGAAAGGTTGTCGTCAAGGTTGACGGCGAGTAAACGTTTCCCCTTACTGACGGCGGCGTGAATCGACTAGAATGCTGTACCCTGTAACTTTTTTCGTCATCGTTCTATATCTCTATGGCATATATGGAGTATAAAGAAACAATGGGCTCCTCATCATCGAACACTGTTGATATGTACGGGATGGCGGGCTGCCTTTCTTTTGCTGTCCGCAACCCAACATCCATGCTTTGTAAAAACTACCCACACGGGCCGCCTTCTGCATGTTCAAAAGGGGTTTACAATGGGTTGGGCTGACCCTCAACACACCAGGCTTCGTCCATGTCTATAATCGAAGGCGACAATGACTGCTTCAGCGTACGCAAGAGCCGCAGCCAATACCTTATCATCACTTAGCAACCTATGTCTTCGATGCAGGAGCTGCCGGTATCCCTTCGACTTGGACATTTTTCACTCACCATGATGTGCATGATCTGATGGCTCGCCCCTACCAAGTCAAAAGTTCTCGGGAACCACCGCTCAGGAAACTTCTCGCACAGTTAGCAAAACACCGCCGGGATTCGTTCCCTCCCCCACCCCCAAACCAAACGCCGCAAACGCTCTCGCAGCAAGCGACTCACCTTGGCCCAATACACCAGAACAGCAACGAGGTTGAACCCGGCCGTCGCCAGAACCCACCCGCCACCCACTCGCTCCCACACCTCCCCGGCGCCGTCCACTGCCGCTCCGTGCCCGATGGGGAGCACGAATGCCGCGAGTCCGAACGCCGCGAACAGCGCCGCGCGGTGGTGACCCAGGTCCACGGCCCCGAGGTCCGGCCGCGCCGTCGCCGCAGCGCAGAGGGCAGCGAGCAGGCCCGTCAACGCGACGTATGCGTCGCGCGTGCGGGGGCTGCACGGGAACGCGTAGTGCGCGAGGGGGTAGACGGACGACCACATCAGCACAAGGACGCCGTGGAAGTCGGCCTTGATGCCCGAGAGATAGACGGCCTCGCTGTGGGACATGAGAGTGTGGAAGCTTTGTGCGGGTTAACGAATGCTGTCCCCCGAACTTTGACGGCCGACCTGGACCCTCTTCCGAAGCCCCCCCCCCCCAATGCCAGAACTAGAAGAAGGCACAATGGAAGACTAGGGCCAGCTTAAAGACCAGGGACAGGCTTTACTCACGCCGCTGAGAGGACGAAGCAGACGGTCACGCCGAGGGCGTAGACGCTGCAGACGACAACGTCTGCTGTCGAGGCGATGCCCCATCTGGGCGGGATCCCATTACCGAAGACGTAGAACGGCAGCAAGACGAATAAAACTGCGCCAAATACATGAGAGTAGATGTTGACTGCGCAGAGCATTAGACTCGGTGAAGCCGCAAGACGAAGGGGCCAGTGTCTCCTACTCGACTCGTTGTGGATATAAGCCCAGCTCGCAAAGCATTCAAGCACCGAATTGCAGGCCTTTCTATAAACCAAGTTTGTAAGCCAGTCTCAATCGATGGCCATCGGGTAGTTGACCTACCGATACCCGGTCTTGATGTGATCGCTCCCGCATCTGTCACAGCTATAAGTCTCTGTCCCTCTAGGAGTTGACACATGACCCACTGTTGCCATTCGGCTGTACAACCTCTTAGAAAACGATTTTGATCACAAGTGTTACGGCAGAGGATACTTACGGAGTTCCTCCCACGACAGAAGCGAAGTCTCCCTTTCCGCTTTCCTCCCAAACTCTTCTACACTCCCCCAGCTCCATAACCGCCGCCTGGCGGAATCGTCCTCTATCGCCGTCCGGAGCCGCCGCCTCAGGGCCGAAGTCGAGAGAGGAGCGGACATGGCCCACCTTGTCCTCCCTCCAATATCCGTACTTTGGCTTGTATCGCCAAGGCCGTAAAACGGGCTAGGAACCCCTGGGAGCCAGACGGGCCGCCATCCAAGCACACCGAGTTGCGCAACTTGCCGGAAGCACTTCCCGAACCCGTTCCCTAGCTGAGCCGTATTTGATCCGATCCAAGATCCGGAACAACGCTCGCTGCAAGGCAAAGTGGAAGTGTCAAGGGACAAGGGGGAATTCCGAGACTCGCTGTTCTTACCTTCTGGTCGAGACAGAAAGGGAAAAGAATAAAACAGAACACAATCAAACACCGTTTCTCTTGCCCTCTCTCACAGGAGAAATTCTGATACAAGAAAAAAAAAAAAAAGCAAGAAAACCCCCTTTTCTCAATAGTCCTGGTCTCGTCTACCGTTCACCGACCCGCCCGCGGAAAAGGTTGTTGGGGGGGAGGCCCTCCAAGTCCACCAACCCAAAACCGAATGCCGGATGAGCGCCGATCCGGGGTGTCCCGTGCATTGGGCCATTTTCTCTAAATGCAACGACGCTGATGCAGGCCCTTGAACAGTGCGCACGTAACAAATCACAACCAGCCAGAAGGGCCACCTGGTGAGCGTTAAGTTGATGCAGGCAGGGTAGGACCCTGGAGGGGGGGTAGGGGGGGGGGGGGGGGGGGGGGGGGGGGGTTGAGAAACCTGTTGCCCGTCGCTGGATGTGCTTGGAGAAAACTTGGCCGGCACGACGCGAGCTTGTTTTTCGGATGTGCCCGGCAGCGGCGATCTCACGTCCTCGCATCGAGGCCCAGAAGAAGTGCAAGGGCGTCAGATACGATTGGTTTGTCCGCTTACACCACGATGAAGTGAATGGCAACAACGTCAGAAGAGGAGCTCGCCATGGGAGAAGTGTCGTTCGTACGCAGTCGAATAGCCTCTTTTCTTGCCACTCAAAAGATGTCCGAGGCATGCCGGGCTTGGCAGATGTGCTATTGATACCCCACCTCCACAAAGACAACCCGTACACCGATCGACGAGGTCCATACCTGTAGTCAAGTTATACTGTGGCGAATGGTAAAACAAGCCTTGACCTCCGCATGGGGAAGGCAACCAGTGAGCATCGTCAACATTCAGTACGGAGGTGTAGTTGGGAGCAAGTGGTGAACTAAAGAAAAGAGAATACGTGAGTGAAAGCCCATCGAACAACAAACCCACCATCGAGCACAGCCAAGGGTTATGGTATTGATAGGACATGAGCCCTGTATTGAGACGGTGCGTAACAGGGTGGCTAGGCACCAGGGCGTATGCGGTAGAAAGAACGATGAGACTGTTGTATGACTTTTCCCCTTTATTTCGGCTTGTAGATATTCTAGTCGACATGGACGAGAGGAGCGAACTCACCAGACGAGAACACCCCTCTCGTCTGGAGATGCACGTCGGACAGCCTGCATCTGTCTCTCTATGAATAACCGAGCGGGCTTCGGGCTAAGAAACGTTGTCAAGCAAATGCAAGAACCGACCTGCTCACCCTTTTAATCTTAACTCGGAATGCCGAGAGGCGTCTGTTTTGCATGCCCAGTCTCGATGACCCGCCACATATCGGCAGACCATTCAGTGCAGACTTATGGTCAAAAGAGGCGTGAATCACTCAAGCCTCGTGGATGAGGAGTTGGTCCAGGCGAAAACAGGGAGGAAACGGGGAGGAAACGGGGGGGAATCAAGAAATCTTGGTTCAGAAAAAAAAGAGGAGCACTAGTGATTGCTTTACGTGGTGAGAACACATGGAGTTCGACACATTGAGTAATATCTAGATACGTTGCTCGACGCTATCAGAGTATTCTCGGAGGGATACTGCAACAAAACACGAATGTAACCAGGGACATCTCGCAGTCATGTTGGCCTCGACGTCGGAACGTATGGCTTCCTTCCAGTCTCTGATGTCAACACATTCAGCCTTTCCCCACGTATACGAGGTATCTCCACGCTGTTCGAGCCCGCCGGAAGAGTGATGGCTACAAAATGGCAGCGCCAACTATCTATCGAAGGCAGCCTTCTGCGGTGGCTTGTTTGCAGCTGGGAAGACCTTCAATAGACGCCAACGGCCCATCGCCTCCATCGCCTCCATGACCTACCTACCTCTCCGCCTGGGCCTCTGCAGGTATGAATGTCTTCACCCGGACTTTTCTCGACTAGGGAAGATCAATCACTTTCGGGTTCATCCGGGGGGGTGCAACAATTAGTACAATCCTGACACCCTTTCGCGCGTTCGTGCGTTCCTCATCTTGCTGGTGGCCTTGCAACCAAGCATCGTTACTAAGCACATCTCTCCCCCTGCTTCCATGACCTCTCAACTCGTGCCGGCCTCAAACAAACGTTGCAATGGCTTTCAGCCACAAACGTAAGGTGCATGACTGGAGACAAAGAAGCATGCATCTTAACTCGGGGGAGGGGGGGTCCGCAACCTGCTCGTCGAGCTCGTTGATGGTGTCTCTCAACAGCTGACGCCTCGGAGGCAGGCACCGGGTCGTCACAGACTCTCCACGGCAGGCATTCTCGGCTCCAAGGCAGGCGGTGCAGCCTGAGCCCGAGATGCATGGGGTCGGAGCTTTCCTGGACCTTGTCCAAGCCATGTTTACTCAGGATTTAGTGAGCAACACGGAAATTGACTCGATACCAAGCTGGGCTTGTCCAGGTCCCTCGGTCGCTTAGCGATCCAGGCGTTGTCCGTCAGCTCGCGAAAGGATTAGCTCCGGGTGTTTGATAAGAGCAGGAAGCTTACCATCAATGATCAATGACGTGGAGAAAGTGGGCGCAAGTTAGCTTGTGGCAAGTGCACTCGCCAGACTTCGCGATCGTCCTCGCTTGGGAGGGGTGGATATATATGGCTATCAATCTTTAACACAAGTTGCCCCCTCTGCCGCGAGCATTTTCAGCTTGCACGGTAAACTAGAAACGGGGGACGAGCTCTTATGTGACACAAACCCCGTTGATTGGATACTATTGCAGCTGAACTTTGTTCGGTTGTCAAAACTTGTCCAAGTCGTGCTGGCGCCTTGGTGGATTACAGACCGGATGGCTGGGAGAGGACTTCACTCAGGGGTGGTGCTCGTTGATGCGCAGGCATTCAAGTTCTTGTCTCAGACAAAATCGTCGGTGCGACGAGCCGCTGTGGAATCATCATGAGCGAAATTCCCATATGAGGAGGGCTCCGTGATTCCGAAGGGAGGCGATGACCCCAGTCGTCCATGTGCTTTAGGCCTTTAGCACAGAATACGAGTCAACATCCCTGTCTCCCCACGTTCTGAAGACAATGCCCCCAATGCGACAACATGCTGGCTAGTGCTTATAGGGCGATTTGTGTGCTCATCGGCAGGGGTGCAATCAATGGCGATGAAGACGAGACCGGGAAAGAAAGGGGGAAAAAGTAACAACACAATCGATCGCATTCGTGGGGTTTGCTCGCCTGTGAGACACTGCTGGCTTATGAAGACAGTGGCTGCTCCTGTCTGCGGCCAGGGGGGGGGGGGGGGGGGCGTTCTGTATCCGGACGATAAGAACGGATTCATCTCCCTGATACAAGACATGCCTTCTAGGTAGTGAAAGCAGGGCGTGTGCCTGCGCTAACTTTCTGCCGGCCAAACGGCTCCTCAGATCGCCAACGCCGTCGCATGCAAGAGAGGTGGCGGCAGCGGCACAGCTGACAGATGGAGTAATGGGAGGAAGGAGAGTGAGGCATTCGGGTAAGCAGACGGGTGCTATCGGCACATGCTGTAAGCCACACGAGAACCTCAATGTTGGTCGCGAGCTTGGCGGGCCTTGAGGGGGCAATGTTTGGTATGCCACCCGTAAGCTGGATGTCCAAAAGCTTTCAGGTCGGTGCCATGGCCATGTCGTCATGCAATTGGTAATCATGCAAGGCACTCAATTCTATGTGCTTAGATGGAGGAGGACAAAGAAAGTGAGTTGCTTCGACGTGAGGTGCCGATTGCAACGAACCCCTGGGACCTCGGCATCTTTCACTTTGTATTACGGCTGTTGTCAGCAGAGAGGCTGAATCTGAGGCACTGGCGGACGCCATCGCGGGTCAACCGTGAGTAGGGTGGCGCGGTGATAAGCCGCGACAATGATTGTTGCTCGTGCGCGAAGCGGGAGGCTTGCGAACGGCTTCGGGCGGCTATCAGGAGCAGGCTTAGGGGTAGATAGACAACAGCGGCGAGGTTGTCTGCTGATGTCGGTATTGTCTCCAATGGTCTGGCTATTAATTATCCCGAGAACTGCTCCAGCGACAACAGATGAGACCCAATGTTCGGCTCCGGATTGTGGCGCTTCCCGTAAATCCGATGGGCGCCACCCCTGATCCTAGACGCTGCCGTTCCTGCGTGCCTCGTGAGAATGGTGACATTGGCCCAGGGGCACACACTTGCTTGTGCCTAACTTTCACAAAGGTTGTGTTAGGCAAAATCATACCCGTTGTTACTCCAGCCGTTGACAGGTTCCTCATGAAGAGAGCCAGGCGGTATTAGGGGATGCAGCGGCTTGAGTATTCGTTCCAACAAATGTAAGCCAAGATGACGGGGAGACAGTACCGGCCAGTCGGAGGAACCAGGTGTCGTGACACCTGTCTCGTACCGTGACACTTCGGAGTTAAAATTCATCTCAATGACAAGACGACTGAAGGGGGATGCCGGCTGCATGGGCCCATCCAAAGTAGAATGTTGTCCGTAGCTGATTGCCGGAACTCCTGCACTAGAGCAAACAAGTCGACACCACCTTTGACAATCAAGCGTCAACGGCCCTGGTTCGGTTCCCGCACCTCACCAGCGACCTTTTAGCCTCCCAGGCCAGCCAGTTTGTGTGCCAGGAACAAGTGGTGGTGCAGGCTGGTCTACCTACCTAGTTCAGGAGGCGCACATTTCGAGGCAAGGCACAATGTGTGGGTCCTCGGAAAGTCTGGGTACGTACGCTACGCTGCATGCATTGAAATCTCCGCAATGGTGCAGCGTCATGGCGAGGGGTTTGGCAAATTGGCAAACGTAGGACGGACTGGCCAAGTCCATACTCCGACCAGCCGTGGGCCTAGTGCTCATTAGTCCATATAGATGACATGACGGCGACTAGCCAGTCAGGCGCGGTGCAAGACGGCGTGGCCTGAAGCCAGAGAGACCACATGGATTTTTATTTCATGTTAGCGTCGATGGGAAATGCGATGCGACGCGATGCCATGCGATGCACAGCGCTGCTCCGCACTGCCTGCATGTGCTGCATTGCATGCTCGAGGGCGCCCGCCCAACTGCAGCTTTCCAGCGAGAACCTGCGCCCTGCCCAGGACCAGACCGCGAGGTGGACAAACGGAAGCGATGATGGCGGAGGGGCAATGAAACCTATGTGGAGAGGGAGGGCGTGGGGATTGGAAGGGGACGACGGTTCGGTCCCTGGCATCCGTGAGGCCCCGCACTGCAGATTCCCACACAAGGGACGTCGCTTTCGCACGGCTAATAAGGGTGACGGGCGAGGGAAGGAGAGGAGGCTTGAGGCATGGTTCGAGACCTCAGTCTTGTCTTTGGAAGTGGCGGTGGAGGGGAATATGGCGTGTCGGTCTCTCTGACAACCGTTCTGGAGTGAGAGCGATCATTCCTGGACGCACATTGTCGAACCGACGAAAGTGTCCGCTCAAGCCCTTGTCGACCTTTTGGCACTCTCTTTCGTTTCCCTTGGTCATCATCGTCGACGATCGGCAGGAGCAGCCATCAAATGCGGTAGAGCATGACCCAAGGGTGGTGTTGTGTTGCATTGGAGGCTCGAGGCCGCATGTCAGAACGACTAGTGTGATGCAGATAACCAGCGTCAGGAACCCGTTTCTGGGCTGGCGCAAAGCGATTCGAACCCCAAAACAGAACTTGATTTGTGTGACGCGGCTTCATAAGAGGCTTGTACGTGTCGCCCTCGACAACCTAGCGAGTGGTGCATGAAGCAGCCCAACGAGCGAGCACCGGTTGCGCGCCATCAAAAGACCATGTGCAGATGTCTTGCATCTGTCTGATGCGTAGGTCGACGACGAGTTGAAACCCTCCCCCGCGTACCGGGTCGTCATGCAGTGAGTGGTGCAAAGACACTCGGTACCGACGTAGCGGTGATCATCGAGCGTCGGACAAGCTGATGGGGGCAAGGTGAGTCAAGCAAATTCCAATAGTATCCCAATTCTGGTCTTGTGTGACGCCGGGTGCGATCCGGGTGCCTTCATTCCTGGTGCTCTGCATGGCAAGCAAAGGCGGCCTGAAACTGTACGACAAGGCCGGCCGTAGAGCGTAGCCCAGGTGTGGGAAAGGGTGGAAGGTGAAGGACCCCACTGACAGCAAAAGCCGGCAATGAGTTGGGAGAAGGCGGCGTGAACAAGACAACTGCGTAGGCCTGACGACTGACTCCCGAGGCGTTGGGCGGATCATGATGCGGCAGTTTGCATGTCTGCAAGCGGCCTTGGGGTAGCAACAGAGCCCGGGTCGTCTGAAAACAGGCAGATGGCAGCGAGTAAGTGGCCCTAGATACGGGACGACTAATTAATCAACGGCCATGGGGAGAGAGAGGGCGACCAGGGTACCTAAGGGTGTGGCTGCAAGGTGCCAAGAACCGACCAGGACGGCTGAGCGTGAGCCCGGACTAGCGTGGCTCGATGGGTGTTAAATAGTGTGTTTCTGTTTAGCGATGGAAGCCTTCGACTGTTTCCGCCCCTCCCAGTGGGAGCCACAGTGGAAGCGTCACGATGCGGTCGGTCGGTCGGTATGGAGCAGTGCTGGGAATTCGACAGGAGACGTTGTATATGCCGGGGCGCCCAGGAGACGAGTCCATCCCCAGAGATGGTGGTGATGGCACACCATGCCCGGTGATAACAGTAGGCCCGAGGAGAAGGAGGAGAAGGACCACGGTCATCCTAGGCTTCCTCGTCTTGCAGACATCTCCACTCTGAGCACATTCCTGTTCAGGGGAGATACCTGGGAGGCAATCGTGAATGTCGTGAATGTCGTGTATGTGAGTGTAAGACGGGACGGGACCGGACTCGGAGGGGCATTTAGTCCTCCTGCCCGTACGAATTCAGACAGAACAGAACAGAACAGAACAGGACAGAGCAGAGCAGAGATTGGGAGAAGGAGGAAGGAGCGATACAGAGTACGTACCCGTAGTGTAGTGTACTCACCCAAGTACCTACAGTACCTAGCTGGTGTACGGCGGTATGCCTTGCTAACTAGGTATACCGTGTCTCGTGTCTTGCCTCTTCCGCAGTATCCACATTTCGATTCAACCCTTCCCGAAAACATTCTTCTATTGGATAGCGCCAAATGCCAGCCCACACCATCATGGCAGATGTCCACCATAATGGAGCTCAAAGCAGGATTGACAGGGGCCCAGGGGCGGATGGGTGGTTTCCTCCCACGTTCAATCGGCCTTGGCCCGGGTCCTGGTACTTGCAGCTCCCACCTGCTAGGTATCCTAGCTTTGCGCAGGTACCGTTCGTCCGTGCTGATTGGCTTTCAAGGGTTCCCAGTTTTATTTTTATTTTATTTCCTTCTTCTTCTTCTTCTCCTTCTTCTTCTCTCTCCTTGATTTTGACGGCTAGCCTGGTCCCTGACCCTGGGAGCTCATTGCGGCGCATCCACCCACCCTCGGATGTCTTCGCCCCAGATATTGCAACGTGAGAACGGGAAGAAATGAAAGAGGCATACGGATACTGCGGTTTCTGTTCGGGTATCTGGTTGCGCTTCTTCAATTATGTCAGCAATGGATACTGGAGATTATGATGCATATCCACCACAAATCTAACCAGTGAGAGACACGGTTTATATGGGTCTAGACTCCGCACTACCTACCTGTTAGGAGAGCTCTTGCACATAGAGGCGTTGGCCCATGAAGGTGCGCGATTCTGCTTTAATTTCGCCTACCGCATAGAATAGGCCGCTCCCCTTCCCATATTCTATCTACTCCGTACACCACCTACGGAGTATCCGTACTAGTATCCGTACCGTACTGTATGTATCCTATCCTTTTCAAACCCCCTTCCCGACCTGGGTTTAGTCTCTCTCTCTTTCCGGCTCCATCATTGTGGGTTATGTGTGGAATGGTCCTCCGTCTTCAACAATTGTAATCCAAGAACGCCCGCTCGCCCCCACCCCCAAGAGCACATCCACTCCATTCGCCGTTAATGACGATAATCTTAAAACAAAAAGAATTTTGTACCCGTCGAAGACAAGAAGAAAGGCAAAAAAGAAACAAGAGAAAGGAAAGGGAAGAGGGGGGGGAAACCGCCTTCCTTTCCATTACTCTGTCCCCGTTTTTTTCTTTCTTTTCAACCTCTTGCATTCGCATTCCTGCACCTCAAGCTTAGAACATCTAGGAACACTTCCACACCCCTTCCACTTGGATTATCCATCCCCCACCCCCCTCCCCTCTGTTATTGACGGCCACTCTCCCACCACCTCCGAAATCTCTCTTCCTTCACTTCTCCCGGCCGATTCGCCTCTCTTCTCCTTTCTCTTCCTCCGCGCCGCCCATAGCTCTGTTTGAACACAAACCCCCTGTTCCCGACGTGCAAACCCAAGGGGCCTCCGGGGTAGTCAGAGAACCGAGAGCAACAACTGGTTTGTCCCTCTGTAGAGAACCGGCATACACCGAACCCCGATTTCGACCATCGTCACCACCGGCTGCCGTTTCTTCTTCCGCATGCCCGCCCATTCGCCATCCCTCGTTACTGCGTCCTGTCCACTATCGCCGAGACCCCTTTGCTCCAGTATGCCTCATTAATACACCATCTTAACACTTTCGACATCTCATTCCTTTCTCTTGAAAGGCAACGACGGTGCCTATCGCACCTCTGCTCCGTCATTCCACCATGCGAGGCAGCCTGCCAGCTATGGAAACCTGCGAGGGACTTCTTTTGGTCCCTCCTGACCGCGGTCAGATCTTAGGCCGCGCCATCTGGAAGGTACGCATTTGCTTATTTTCGCCCATTCGCCCTTTTCTTCCTTCCTTACAATGTCAACCTCTGATACCCTATCTTTTTAGCCACGATATGTAATTGTCGGGCCTCGCAACGTCCAGAGAGAAGCCCTCACCAACCCGACTGGTCCTCAAACCACAGGCATAAACCGCAATGGCGTCCCTCCAAAGATCCAGCCTAGGATTCCCGCCACCGACGACTATTACATAACCATTTTCAAGCCCAAGGTAAGGCTCAATATGACGGAGTTCTCTGGCCCCAACCTAAGCCTCCTGAACTTGCAGGACGATTGGGAAGCCTCGTATCAGTACTCCGTCAGCTCTGTTGTGGACTGCCAAGTTCAAATGCTCGCCCATCGCAAACAAGGCCCCGTCCTGCCGACTCTCGTCATCACGATTAACGACAAGGAGAAGAAGCGACGCTCCAGTAGGGCTGCTGGTCTGATCTCCAGCAAAGAATCTACCGCCACCACCTTGTGGTTCCGCACACCTCCCGATGATCACCACATTAGTCTCCACGACTGGGCCCGTTTCATTCTTTCGAGGAAGCTCCCCATGAGCCCCGAGAGCCCGGCCTCTCCATCTTTCACCAATCCGTTTACACAGCAGCGGTCGCGGGATGTCGATTATTTCCCACGACCTCCCAGCGGAAACCCAAATCCACGGACTACCTTGCAGCACAAGAACTCGGTGCAGACGTACTCTAGCCGGGATCGCCCTACTACCTACAGCTCCGATTCCCCAAGTTTACGGTCAAAGGCGAGTGACGTCTCTTCGCCGACCAGCGGCAATCACCCAGCCCACGTAGGCTTCGCCATGCCGGACCCCAACAAATACACTACGGTGCTCCCATCCGATATTCCCTCGCCCGTGGCTACGATGAGCGATTATCAAAGAAGCGAACTGATTGAGGGCTGGACCGTCGCACAAGGGAGATCGTCTACAGTCAGCTCGCCGATCCGCGGACGTGGCAGCGTCAGCTCCGGTGGCGCACAGCCTTTTCCTGGGGCCGACTCCAGTTCCCCACCAAACCAACGAGAGACGATCCTTGACCGAGCCTTCCAGCTGCGCTGTATTCCTGGCTCTGAACGTGAGACGCCGGGTGAAGAGAAGCTCACCTCCTTGGCCCGCTTTGATGCCTTGATGCGCGAAGCAGACCAAAAGATCCGTCAGCAGGCAAAGGAGGCGCACGCCGAGAAGATGGCGATGCTAAGCGCATTCGACGAGGATGACGATTCATCAGAGGATGAGACAGAGGAGGAGGATGATGAAGACGACGACGACGACGAAGACCATGAAGAGTACGCGCATGAAGCAGATGTCAACGGCAACCGCCAGACCTTGATCCCGCCAAACGCTCAGCGCGCTCTCGAATTTCTCGTCAGCCGTCGAGACGATGCAATGTCACCCCGGTCAGCCGTGATGAGGAGTTCGCCCGCCAACTTCAGTGTCCCCTTGCAGGCTCCTGCACGACCACATACGGCTCATTCCAAAATGCATTCGAGCGTGGCGCAAAGGACAACCAGCCAGACTCAGTCCATGGGCCAGGAAAGGCTTGATGTGCCGATCTCTTCATCCGGTAAGACATCCGAAGATGCCAACTTCCGAGCCAACGGGGAAAAGCGGGCGTCCGGCTCCAGCGCCAAGCGACTTAGCTTCACCGAGTTCACCAAGCGTCTCTCAAGCACCAGCAGCTTACTTCTCGTCCAGACCAACACCAGCGGTGGGAGCAGTCGCCGCAGCAGCGAATACGACCTAAGTCCCTCTCTGGCACCCAAAGGTACTTTGAACGCTAGGGGTGTTCCCCCGAAGCCTCACGATGTCGAACGTGAGGGACAGGAGCGGCATTATGGATGGCGGAACAGCGTCGGATTCACAGACGGCGGCTTGATCTGACGGTGCCCGTCAGCTTTCATCAACGCTTATCGTCGTCATCATCATCATCATCATCATCATCATCATCAAATCTGGCCGGACCCGACTCGATCTTCTTACGTCACTACCATCTATACTCGGCCTTATACCCAACACAAGCCACAGCATGGTTGGCATATGTTGTACGGTTTCTGATCTTACGATACCATTGTTCGCATCTAATAACGACTTACGATTGCGGTTCACAGAAATGGATTCTGGCGTTTATCTTGGCTTCTGTTCATTCCGCGTTGCCTTTGCAGCTCGGCTTTATACGCGACTTCCAGAAGGGACTTTCCCCTCGTCCGTTTTGTTCTTGAAAAGCATCATTGCCGGAGATCTAATGGAGCAGCTCAAGTCTGACAGACTCGTACCGCACACACTTCTCTGGTATGCGCACGACAGACAGCGGTGTAGACCACTATCTCATTACAATGTGGAATGTCTGTGGGACGTTCATGATGTGCTGATTTTCTGATCTGAGACCGATTTACGTTCTTATGAACATAGAGAAACGATAGTACATAAAAGTCAACGCATGATACAAAGTAAATGAATCATTTCTAAGAAAGGCCATGCCCACGCTTGGTATCCCCATTGAAAAGTCCTGAACGAGTCAACACCCAGTGAAGGAGATTGAAGCGGCGGTCAACGGCCTTACTGCCAACCATGACGCCCCGCCCATGTGGCACCGTTCATCTTATGATGTCTCTATTCCTTGGGGCCCCATAGCCGATAGCGCTTAAGATTGGCACCAATAGCTTCGTCATCCTCCACGGCAAAACCCTTCTTAGCCAGGGTACGAAAGGGACTCTACCACCACACCATCACCGTGTCTTTTCGACACTAGTACACTAGTGTATAAATCCAAGCAGGCGGATGGACCACAAAGAGGGTATCCCAGACGAGCCGAGCAGCGCCCTGGCCACCTCTAACCCCCGGTCCTCTCCCACTACGGAGCATCAAGATGAGTATCCATCATGATTTTCGGTGGAAAGGGAGAAGCAGGGAAAGCCCCAGAGAAAACAATGCTCCTAGGGGTTCGCCGCCAACTGATGACATGGCCCTTGTCACCGTAAACGGGCTCCAGGACCAGGGGCCTGGAGTCGGTGAAGAATTTTCCTCAACATAGTCTCCCTCCCTCGTTACCTCCCCCCGCACCCCTCCCCCACCATCTCCACACCTTCTAGAACGAAAGCAAGGAAAAGAAAAAAAGAAAGAAAAAGAGGGGCAAAACGCGCGGATACGGTAACCGAATCTGTCGCGCCGATGATGACAAGGGGAAAAGGGAATGAATGAAGAAAAGGTTCAAGGGCCAGGGGAGGGGGTGTGATGGCTGAAGGTGATGATGATGCGCTCTGGTAGAGTCTAGGCTTCTTGACCCTAGGAGAGGGGGTGGAAGACACTATCCGTAGCTTGACGTGCCAAGTCTCGCCAGTCTACGGATACACGCCACAAGGAAAGTGCCCTGCCCCTGGATGAAAGCCGCGACGAAGTTCCAGGCCCTGGGTAGTACGACAGACACTTCATTCGGACACCGGGGATCCAGGGGGCGAACATCCGGGGGGGGGGGGGGGGGGGGGGGCAAGGGTTTGGGATAAAAAGTTCTCCGTCCCCGGCCTAGTCGGCCCGGATCGGCGTGGGCCGTGCGGAGCAAACGGCGGTCGGCGCCCGGTGATGCAGACGACATGCCTCCTGGCCCTAGTAAGGATTGGCGCCGAGCCATTTTCGCTCCCCACTAGGGCGGTCAAAGGCCACGCACGTATATGCACATGCCGGCACTGACATCGGAGGGAGGCATAGGCTAAATAAAGCCTTTTGGGTAACGAATTGCTTTTTACTTTTTCTATGCTCGATTCCAAAGAGGGTAGAGACGCTTGTTGTCAACACCTCCATGAGCTCACTGCAACATACTCTCACGCTGAAAATACTACAACAGCTGAGCATAGTCGGCAAGCCCAGTGTCTTTTGGGCCGATTGATATCATCTGCTCAGAGGCCGTGATCGAGTTGCTCATGATATTTCCTTCGCGACAGACGCCATAACTCAAATGGTTCCTTCTAGAAGCCCCTTCCCTGTTCTTCTCATTACCTCACTGCCGACGCTGTCCTGCACCATTTTAGTCTCCTCTACAACCCTTACATTGTGGTCCCTACTGGAGCTTCTTCCATCCACCGTAGGCCGTGGAGAATGCACAATCGTCCGGTAAACCCATCCCACCGCTCGGTAGCGTCTCCTATTGCAAGTACTGCTGCAGTGCTTGCTGCTGCTCGGGCGTCAAACGCGTGTTGACAAAGTTGACGATGGCGCCATTGTGGCGCTGGTTGGCGGAGCTGATATACGCGCTGACCCAGGGAGCCACCGCTGTGACTTCTGGGTAATCGTCGCGCGCAATCGGCTTGCAGGTGTTGAGCGCCGTGTACGATAGGCCGAAGCCAATATCGTCGACATCGGCCTCGGCGATGATCTCGTCTCCAAGTCCGGCCGATACAACAGGTGGGTTGACGAGCAGGGCAAGGAGTATCTTGCACGTGTTGGCCCAGCCCTTGGCGAACTTCTGTGCGAAAGCCTGCGACTCGCAGAGAGTCTTGGTAAGACTAACCACTGCAAGCTTACGGTCAACAGGACGAGCCAGTTTCTCCGTCTCGGCCAAGACGAACGGCGGGTACACCTTGGCAAAAATGCCCTCTTGGATCTTCTCCGAGTGCTGCATGAAGTAGTCGGCTCCGTAACCAGCCTCGACGCGGGCCGAGACGAGATGGAAGAACCGAGCGAAGCGGAGCTTCAGCGAGTCGGGAGGGTTACCCTGTAGCTTGGTGAATATCAAGCTGAGAATAGTGCCGAAGTACGGGTCGACGACGCCACTGGAACTGTTTAGCATAAAGTACGACAAAACCACGGCGAAGTGATGACTTACGGCTCGAGAGACTTCACAACCGACTCCAAGACATCGAAGGCGTATAACTGGTACTTCTTGAGGGCGAGGAGACGCTGGAAGATACCCAGGATTTGCTCGAGCTTGTTGTCGGAAACAACGTAGGCCGAAGTCGCTGGAATGATTGATGAGAGAAGCCGGGTGCAGGCCGGAACATTGCCTTTGGTATCCCACAGCGCCGGCTCAAGGAGAGGGGACAGGAAGGCCCGGTAGTTGTCTGAGATGGCATCTGCGGGGCTCGATTCCAGGAGCTGTGCGAGGATCTGGAAGATATACTGCAAGAATTCTGTAAAGCCGTCAGCGATGTTCTGTGATTACCCCAAAGCAAACAATGTAACGCACCAGTAACGTCCTCGACCAGAATCTGGTTGAACGGCTCCCAGAGGCGCTGGTTGAACAGGGGCGCATGTGTGGAAGAACAATATCTGACGAGCGCACCGAGAGCCTCAAAGTGGTAGTAGTAGAAGCGCGGGTTGCTGGGGTTCTGTTTGATCATGTTGGTGATAGCAACCAAGTGAGTCAGGACACCTTCAACGAGAGGGGCAGCGCCGTCCTTGAGAACGATGAGGATTCTCATGACACATCTCATCAAGAACTCGTTCTCTTGCAATTTGGCAGGCGTCCTCTCCTTCTCGATGAGTTTGAACAGATGGTCGAGCAAGTCCTTGGCGAAGGGCTGAATGTCCTCGCGGGGAAACATGGCTTTTCCGGAATCGTCCGTCAAAAAGAGCAGGCGCTCAACCGCAATTGCGGCATACGAGTAAACGACGTAGTTGTCGGAAGCCAGGTTCTGGATCAGAGGAGGGAACGCCAGTTTCCATTGCTCCTTTGTCAACTGACTGCGGAACGTGTGCAGGTATTTGATGGCGTCAACCTTGGAGATGGGCTCGACGCCTCCGCTCGCCATCAGGTCCGCTGCGATGTGCTGCTCAAAGAAGTCTACGACGTTGACCAACGAATTGACCGTCTTGACACCCTGAGCAGCCGTGACAGAGCCCTTGGCAGCGATGGAGATGAAGAGATATACGGCTGTGTCCTTTGCCTTCCAATCAGACTTGCCCTGCTCCAAGTAGTGGTTAATGTACTTGTAGACAACGCCGGTGACCAGCTGCTCGTACTTTTCCTGAAGTCTCCTCAAGAAATCGGTAGCAGACCGCCGTCTGGAATCGGTGTCGGAGCCCTCCAAATCCCGGCGGATGTACTCGATGGGCTCATCCTCGAACAGCTCCAAGTCGGACTCACGCAGAGCAACGTTGGGTAGGATGACCTTCTCGACCACCTGACCCAGAACGTTCTCATCGGCGAAGACGCCCGAGTGTTGCGACGTGCCAGCGACCGCGGTTAAGAAGTGCAGAGCCTTGCTCACCAGCAAGTCGTACTTGGTCTCGGCCCCGGTGCTGGAGAGAAGGTTCCAGGCGTTGGTGATGAAGGGCTCGGTGTACTTTCCAAAGTCCTCATCGTACTTGAGCGTGTATAGCTCCAGAGCCTCGCAAATGTCCGCCTTGACGGTGTCGATGACACTGACTTCGCTATCGTCGTCGGTCTCGAGAATCGGGTTCGTGTACGTGAGGTACTTGTGGAGAAGCTCGGAGATGGAAGCCAGGTGTTCCTCGAAGATCGGGGGCATGTCGTGAGAGGAGAGATCGTAGAAGATCTTGATCATGAGACTGAGAGCCTCGAACCAGCTCTTCAGGGCATCCTTGTTCTGAGTGTTCTTGGTAATCTGCTCGTCGGTTTGGATCAGCAATTGCACGAAGGGCTGTGCAAAAGTGCTGATGACGTGGTTGATCTCGGTGTAGAGCTCGTCGGTTCTGAAGAGAGGGCGCCAGCGGACGAAGATAGAGTGGGCGACCTCGAGGACGCCAATGTTGACCTTGGGGTCGACGGGGGAGAAGCGCTCGACGAGCTCCTGGGTCAGTGTTTGCCAGCGCTCCCAGAAGTCGGAGTCAGCGATGATGCTTATAGCATCGCCGAGCTGGGTCTGAATAGTGGGCGGGCAAGAAATCATCAAGCCGATGAGCTGGGACTTGATTGTTTGCACCTCATCGCCGGGGAGCTTATAGTTGCCGTCGGCGTCAACCCAGTTAGAGCGGATGAAGTTCTTGAAGGCCAGGGCGGCGGCTAGACGGGTCTTGAGAGGAAGAGGTTCTGAGGCGACGATGTTGAGCAGGTGGAGGGAGTATTGAGGCTTGGCCTGCTCGAGTTTGAGGGCTTGCTCGGCTGTTTTGCACGTTTGTTTATCAGCATGCAAACAAACTTGGCGGGGTAAAAGGGCAGCGCGGGCGGGTTGGTGTACCTTTCTTATGGGTGCCGGGATCTAAAGTTGCATCCAGCAGCTGGGCAATGGTGCCCATTTGGGAGGCCATCTTGACAGAGCTCACAGCGTCGTGTAGATGGTAATGAGGAAGAGGGGTGGTGAAAAGTGTCTGTTCTTGGACTCTTTTTCTGCGCGGAACTTTTTGGGATGGGATGTGTTGCTGTGGGGGACGAGGCTGCCTTCATAGTACCTTAGTTGGTGGAAAAGACATGGAAGGTGCTGTGGGGCTCTTGCCGTTATTGGTTGGTGACCGACAAGACACTGACAAGTGCCTGTCCGGGTGAGATGCAGTCGGAAAAACTGCGGGGAGGGGAGGGGGAGAGTCCTGTACATCCAGATAACTGTTTGTTTGGTATGCGGATAAAAGAGAGATGAAGCCGCCACAGCCACAGCTGCCGAAGATAATGTCTTGGTTAGGAATGCCAGCCTTCCTATCTACAAAACACGTACTTAGATTCCATGGTGGCTTAGGTACCTAAGGTATGGGACGACAACGTGACAATGAAAGAGGTAAACGAGAGACACGGGGCTCCTCCCCTGCTCCTGCTTCTCTGGCCGCCGCCTCCTTTCATCTGCCGCCAAACACTACTGGTAGCATCTTTGCATCTGAAGGCAGATTGGATGGAATTTGTAGTTCCTGACATACGCCAACCTGAAGCATCCATGTGTTGGGACGGAGTACATCGTACATAGGCTGCGTAACCCAGCACCAGAATCAATCCCACTTCGTCCACCTCTTACTTAGTATTGTACATCGTACATAGCTCCAAGTTTAACCACCCACGATGCTGGGTCCGGGCTGGCGTCAAACACGCTGGATGACGCCACCGCCACAGAATTTCGTCACGGTCCCGGGCCTCTAAGCCGGAACAATATTGGTGCCGAGCACGCAAGATCACCTGGGCTTCGCAAGTGGGGCCCCAATGACCTGCAACGGGGAACACTCAACACTGGTACGCTCTCTTTGGCATAGCATTGAGTGGAAAAGAGCAGGTGCTTTCACGAACTGTTGGTTCCTGCTGCAGGTACTACCCGCATTTCTTGACTCCTCCATAGACCGCCCCCCTTAGCTGCACCAGCTCGATGGGATCAGCCTTCCGTCGAGTTTTCCTCCCAGTCACTTTTCCTACTAGTTGCACCACCGACCCAAACCTCTACCAAAAGCCCACGATGCGATATCATGTCGTGATAGTGTATTAGCAGCACAACCGACACAAATTTTCCCCCAAACAGACTATCCTTACCGATCGCTGACCGCCATTCTACGTCGCTGGTCTTCCATCCTTGCACTATTCGTCGGCAGCCATCCTCTCCCGTCGTCTTCTCGCTAGGCCTGCTGGCCCATTTGCGCCGGGGACCTTGCTGCTCGCCCAACCCCTCCCACTTCCGCTTTGGGACCATCTGGCCTGCAGCTCAGCTCGTCGCCTTGAATGGATGATCACAGGCCATCGCATCTTCCCAGGCATCTGCGACAACTTTCCCAGCTGATTTAAAACGACCTTTTCCCGTAAGTTGTCATCTGCAAATGCCTCGTTTCTGAGGCCCATCCGCCTCTTATCATATTGCCTCTTCCCGTCAACATTGCAGGCTGTGGACCCTCCAAAAGTCTATCGTCGTCATTTGCGACACGTATGATAGTATCAACCCACACCCGCCCGTCCCAAAACCCAAAGTTGATATGAAAATTGCTGCGTTGCTACTCTGCTAACACGCTCCGTCGCATAGCCCCGTCCAAGGGCTACTAGCCGGAGCACCGTCACTCTGACGAGCACATGTCGCCCTCGCCAGGCGATGCGTCGTCGTCGCCAGACCCGGCCCGCCCCAGCGGCCTGGCGAGCGTCTTCAAGGGTCTGACCGGGGCCAAGTTGACGAAATCCCCTCCACCGAGTCTTCAGTCCTCCTCCTCGATCCTATCCCCGCTCGCCGATCACGTAAATGCCACTCGCACGAACCTAGCCGGCTTATCGCCGAACCACATGGAGTCGTTCGAGCTGCTCAAGAACGGGAATGGCAGCGTCGCCGATCGCATCGCGGCTGCCAACTCGCTTCGCTACGCCATTGCGGAATACCCCATGAATCCAGTGCTGGAGATTTGGTACGCCGCAAAGGGCATGATTGATGCCTCAAAGTCGGAGGCTGAACGAACCGCTGGCTGGGAGCTCCTCTCGGAGTGCGTCAAGCACAAGTCGTCTACAGATCTCGAGCGCCAAGAGTACTTCCTCACACTGACGGCTCTTGCGAATCCCGAAGATTTCCACCTGCAGCTTGCTGCTGTTGTTGACCTCACCAACCACGGCCGTGATTTGTCTGGATTCGACTATCAAGTCATCGGGGTGCTGCAAAGATGGCTCCGTGAGGTATACCAGGCAGTCAAGGCAGCGCGAAAGCAAGCTAGCCGTGATGCCAAGAGAAACGCCGGCAAGGCTAGAGCCTCTGCCGCGGGAGAGGAGAAGAACTTGCACCAGCTTTTTTCCTTCATCGCAGAGGTCATCAAGTTCAGTTCAAACGTAGCTGAGGAAACTGCAATGTCTGCTCTGATGGACACTCTGATCGCCATTTGTCTGAGCACAACCATCGAAGACGACTTGCGGGCCTCAATCAATGTCATTGACGCTGTTGTCACTTTCGGTGCCTTACCTGCCGCAAGCTTCAAGGAGTGCGTCTTGGTGCTGGGCTCGATATTCTGTCTTGTGCCAAGGCTTTCCAAGACCGCATGGCACACTATATCCATTCTATTGAAATCGCACAGTGGCCCTGCAGCAGTGAGAGTCTTGATCGATCTGTTGCGGCACCTCCCAGCAGATGGTAGCAGCAAAGGAAAGGACACCAGGGATATTCGGGGTGTATTGGCTGTTTTGGAGAAGCTGTTGACCAAGAGCACGGAGAGGGGATATCCTCCTGTTCCATTCGCACTGCTCCTCGATGGGTTAGTGGCAGCAGTCCACAGCACAGATTCCGGCCGAGTCCACTGCGCTGTCCTCAAGCTAATCAACTCTCTCTTCCGGGACGGCGATGGCAAGATTCATAGCCTGATTGTCGAGGAGGACTGGTCAACCCTACTGTCCATCGCCGCCGAATGCTCCAAAAAGGCACCTCCAGGCATCGTTGTCGGGAGCGAAATGATTGCCCTCGCAAATGAGCCTGACCGGCCTGATGGAGCCATCGGAGTCGAGTTGCTGAAGCTGATCAAGCGACTGGAAGAGCTGGCTAGCCGCAAATCAGGCGAGTTCGTCCCGCGGCAGACCATCATCACGTTCTTCATCGACATTCACAATCGACTCCCGGACTCGACAGCACGCGTGGTGCTGACCTATTTCCAAGAATTCCGATGTTGTTCACCTTCAGACCTGCAGTGGGAGGAGAACCTGTCCTTGGTACTGAAAGAATTTTATGCAAACCGAAGTCGGAGTTCTGAAACCCGTCTTCTGTCTCTACAGGCGGCGACTGAATCTTACGACATGATGGATCTCGTCGGAGAAGAGCTCGGTGACAATGATTGCGTTCCCAATCTTATCAAGGACCTCCTCAATAACATAGCTGATGAGACTAACCTTCTTGTACTGGAATCGGTTGTTGCTTTTATGGTCTCTGTTGCTGTTTCCTCGGATTTGGAGCTCTTCAACTACATTACCGACACGCTAAGGACGATTGTCGTGAACGACCGTCTATTGTCTCCCATCACATCATCAGCGTCTAGGCCCACGACTCCTGTCGGCGGCGAAGCAGCTCCCCCGAAGACTCACACGGCCTCGGGGGTCGTTACGAGGGGCTATGTCAAGTTATTCATGCGATGCATGAACCTCGACGGAGCCAAGTCAATTAAACTCTACGACACTCTCGTCAACATCGCCAAGACAAACCATTGCAAGACTGATGCTCGACTTACGGCGATGAAACTACTATTCCGACTCCGAGCTGATTGGGCAAACCGAGTTTTCTTGATCAATGACACTGAATCCGAAGGTCTTGCGGCCACACTACTGCACACAGCCTCTTCCTGGGCACGGAAGCAGGCCGAAGATGCATCGCAACCCGTTCGGGCCACAAGAGCAGAACAAGGTGCCGTCTCACGGACTACGCGAGGCATTTCGTTCAGCAGCTCCGGAACCCAGGATAGAGTCTTACCAATCCGTTCCATTAGCGGGGCAAAATCATCGTATCCTTACAAACAACTATGGGTCCTGCCAGATCCGGAGGCCCTGCCTGAGACTCCGACCGCCACTGCAAGCCCCATTCTAGCGTCGCATGTTGAAGACCTGGGCTCGGAGACCGCAGAGGAAAGCGAGTCATCCGCTGTTGAAGCGAAGCAAATCGTACTGAACATGAATGCTTGGCTCGACACCATTGTACACATCATCGAGCACGGCTGTGAGTGGGAGGTGTATAGTATGGTTTTGGTTCATTTGCCCTCACAACTCACAAACCATGCGATATTCCGTGGCGCTGTGCCGCAGATACAAGAGCTCCGGCGAGTGACGTGCGAGCAGATACGGACAAACAACTTCCAGGAGCCACCGACATCTACAGGCTTGCGGCGTGCTGACGTGGCTATCTGTCTCTTCCACAGCCTGACCATGATTCTGAGCTATCACGAGTTTTTTCTCAAGGATCAAGAGGACGAAATTGTACAGGCTTTCGTCAAGGGTATTTCGACTTGGGAGCGGTGCGCCAAGTATTGTATTCATGCACTCTCAATATGCTGCCATGAACTGCCTCTATCTACGAGCAAAACGCTGGTGCAAATGTTGCAGAAGATGGCACAAATCATCACGCAGTCCCATGTGGCCATGCACATTCTGGAGTTTCTTGCTTGCCTGAGCAGAATGCAGAATCTGTACGTCAACTTCCGCGAAGATGAGTACCGCATCGTGTTTGGAATCTGCGTCCGCTACCTTCAGTACGTGCGAGACAAAAAACAAACACAGCGAAGCAGTCTTCACAGCGAAGCATCGACGCCGACTAGTTCCACCCCGGATCTTCTGCATCCGAACGCTGCAGACGACCTACCTCAGTATGTGTATGCTCTGGCGTACCATGTCATCACGTACT